TTCATTTTTTGAATGCTGAGTTTTAAGTCAGCTTTTTTACTCTCCTCTTCCACTTTCAAATCAAGAGGCTCTTTAGTTCCTCTTTACTTTCTGCCATAAGGGTGGTGTCATCTGCATAACTGAGGTTATTGATATTTCTCTCAGCAATCTTGATTCCAGCTTGTGCTTCAGCTAGTCCAGCATTTCACATGATGTACTCTACACAGAAGTTAAACAAGCAGGATGACAATATACAGCCTTGATATACTCCTTCCCCAATTTGGAACCAGTCTGTTGCTCCATGTCCAGTTCTATCTGTTGCTTCTTGACCTGCATACAAGTTTCTCAGGAGGCAGGTCAGGTGGTCTGTATTCCCATCTCTTTAAGAATTTTCCAGAGTTTGTTGTGATTCACACAGTCAAAGGCTTTGACATAGTCAATAAAGCAAAAGTAGATGTTTTTCTGGAACTCTCTTGCTTTTCTGATGATCCAACAGATGTTGGCAATTTGATCTCTGCTTCCTCTCCCTTTTCTAAATCCAGCTTGAACATCTGGAAGTTCACGGTTCACGTACTGTTGAAGGCTGGCTTGGAGAATTTTAATCATTACTTTACTAGCGTGTGAGACGAGTGCAATCGTGTGGTAAACTGAACATTCTTTGGCATTGCCTTTCTTTGGGATTGGAATGAAAACTGACCTTTTCCAGTCCTATGGTCACTGGAGTTTTCCAATATGCTCACATATTGAGTGCAGCACTTCACAGCATCATCTTTTAGGATCTGAAAGAGCACAACTGGAACTCCATCACCTCCACTAGTTTTATTCGTAGTGATGCTTCCTAAGGCCCACTTGACTTCGCATTCCAGAACGTCTGGCTCTAGGTGAGTGATCACACCCTCGTGGTTATCTGGGTCATGATGCTCTGTTTTGTACAGATCTTCTGTGTACTCCTGCCACATCTTCTTAGTATCTTCTGCTTCTGTTAGGTCCATACCATTTCTGTCCTTTATTGTGCCCACCTTTGCATGAAATGTTCCCTTGGTATCTCCAATTCTGTTGAAGAGATCTCTAGTCTTTCCCATTTTATTGTTTTCCTCTATTTCTTTGCACTGATCAGTGAGGAAGCCTTTCTTATCTCTTGCTATTCTTTGGAACTCTGCATTCAGATGGGTATATCTTTCCTTTTCTCTTTTGCCTTTAGCTTCTCTTCTTTTCTCAGCTATTTGTAAGGCCTCGTCAAACAGCCATTTTGTCTTTTTGCACTTCTTTTTCTTATGGATGGTCTTGATCCCTGCCTCCTGTACAATGTAACGAACCTCAGTCCATAGTTCTTTGGGCACTATGTCTATCAGATCTAATCCCCTGAAAGAGTTAAATACGAAGGGTCTGTCCCTTCCAGGCTTTCCTCCAAATGCAAGACCATTGAGCAAGTTCTATGAATTCAATGCCCTCATGAAAGACTAACTCTCCCGCAATAAATGTTTCTGCAGTGACAGGCTAGAAACAATGTGTGTCTCTGAGGGGTAAAATGATCTGTCCCTAAGTTAAGCATCTCAAGGAAAAAGGAAGTGATGGCTTCAGAAAGGGAGGAAGAAAGTCGATCACCACGGACAGGGAGTAGAGTGGTCTAGACACCACTCTGCCAGGAGGGGGTTGTGGCAGGCAGCCCACTTCTGCGCTCTCTGCTGCAGTTCCCTCCAGTAGAAACTCGTGCTCCCCCTGGGCTAAAAAAGCCTGTGGTCTGATTAGTCATGTGTTTACCTAGCACTCATCCAACATGCAGTGGGTCCAGGTAAAGGTGTGTTCTGGCGCTGAACAGACTTCCTGCTTACTGTTTAGGGAGTGCTTCGGGTCTGGCTTCTGTTACTTTTGATTGAATGATTTATAAAACTAAAGTTCATGTGGCTTACTCTGATATACAACACCTTGAGAAACCAAGTAGAAATGTTTTTTTTAATAGCGTGAGTTAAAAGAAGTCATCCAGAAGAACAATGGACAGCAGACTTACATATGACGTTTCTGAAATCTAACGTAAACTTTTGCTAATGCTTAACAGCTTAGAGGACAAATCTATCTGACCCTCTTCAAGACTGGCAGGCCTCAAATAAATTTCTCTTAATTTCAAAGGTGACAAAAATCGGGCTGTCTGCCATCAGAAGCTAAGCTGTGACTGATCTCATAAAAGTGACACAGCTAGAGTGCTGGGAGCAGACAGACAAAATGTGGTCAAGGTGCCAAGTCAGACATAAGAGTCATCACAATGTTTCCTCGGGGGGCATCTGACCTGGTTGGGCAGGAAGGGAGAATCACTGTAGCAAGAGTCCCAGAAAACAAACTTGCTTCTGTTTATGCACAGGCACAGGCCTCAATTTACTCTGACATGGCAATTTCTGGCTCTACGGAAATACATGGTGATCAGAGAAGACTTCAGTTCACTGCTGGAGCAGAGGTACTTGAGGAAAAGCAGGTGAGCTAACTCAGGGGAGCGGCCCTCATTGTTCAGTCTCCCTGCTATGTTCTCCGTGCTCAGGCCTCTGGACAAGACTGACTCCGTGCACTGCACGGCTGCTCGAAGTTACCAGCAGACAGGAAGTTACAGGCAGAAATCGCTGATAGAAAAAGAGCATTCCGGGCAACACACCTAAGTCTTCTGAGGCTGTCTCCCCTTGTATCTTGCTGCACATGCAGGTGTGAAGGTCCACGCTAGGACACATGCTGCTGAGTGGCTCTCAAGGGCGTGCCTTATACACACCAGCAGAGAATTAGTAGAGGGCTAAGGGTCTTGTTCCTTCTATATTAATTGGATTTGTATACTGGAGAACCTGATCATTATTACAGCAAATGAATCTAGAAAAACTAATTATGGATTATACAGTAAGACCTTTCTGTACCCCAAAGACATCACAGAAGCCTGGTCTTCCACCCCAGGCCAAACGCTACGACCTCCATCCAGAAGGACCACTCTTTCTCATGGTGCACAGTCTACTCAGGTCCTGTGCCAGCTTTCCAGGGTGACTGGCCCCAGTCAGCTGGCATCTAAACAGAGCCTGCTTCCAACAGAATGTTCTTCCCTTTCTTTCAGCTCCAGTGTTCTCTACAACTCTGTTATGTGGGGATTCTATATCTCATGATGGTTTTCTTTCATCCACGTATAACTGTCAGCAAGTCAATCTCCAAGGCCCAGCGTTCTCATCTGTGAATTAGGTTACTGTCCTCCAGCCTCTGTTTACAATCTCACATGTGCTACAAGAAGTCCCCATGCCCACTGATGCATGTTCATTACATCTGAATAACTCAGTGTTGCTTTCTTATTTCTGAACTTTATGCCTGCCCTGCCTTCAATCCACTGTGAGCACAGCCTCAGTCGATATGTCCCGGGTGTGTTATAAGGCACAAACCCAAAGTACTCACAGGTCGACCACTGGCAGCGGTATCCCTTCTAACGTCTTCTCTTTGCTCAACAGGTAAAACAGGTGTCACCGCAGAGCTGGGGGGGCAGGCGGCATCCAAGGAGCTGGCTGCTCACTGCCAGCTCTTCTGGTCCTCTTGCCACTACCTCAGCTCCTGCGGGGCCCACCTCATGGGGGTGGTGCTCTGCGGGCCCTAGGATCTCCTCCTCAAAGCCCAGCACGGTCACAGACCGCAGAAGCAACCAAGCAAGACAAAACCTTTGTCTGATCTGTAACTGTCTCAGGTAATTCTGCTTAGAAGGACACAATTTTAAGTCTAGCACAAAACTGGTCGACAGCTACAAGTGTGTTAAAGACCTGAAGATGGATAAACTGGTTTCACACATATTCCAAACAGAATAAACATAAACTTTTCAATAATTCCATAAGAAATATTCTGTAAACTCTGCACCTCAAAGGACTTTGTGAAATTCACAGTCCTTCAAAATAAGCTGCAGTTCACTGGAAGGAGACTGACAGGTAACAGAGCGGTGCTTCCTGCCGCTCCTTCCGAATAACATCAGACGGCACCATAAGGACAGGACGACTGTGACTTATTATTTCTTCAATATGTGTTTTTCTAACAGTAGAGGGACAAAATGATTGTTAGATAAACTGGTATCTATGCTTTTAATTTCTATTCTTGTATAAATATGTCTTACTGCTTTGAGGGCAATTTAACATAGAAAGATAACCTCAGAAGGGTCTGACAAGGATAATGAAACTCTTACTCAACTGTGTGTCTACAGCTATGTGAAAACACACAACCAGGAAGAGTCTAAATGTGAGTAGAAAGATGCCACTCCCACCATCTGCTGGAGCGAAGCACTGTGAATCACAGGTCTGCCCTTGCTCCCACAGCTGTCGAGCTACGCGGGGCACCAAGGCAGCCACTATCCACAGGGGCTACCTGAAATGACTCAATTAAACTTCACTAATATTATAAATGTGGTTGCTTGGCCTCAGCAGCCATACTGCCTGCGCGGTCAGTGGCTGCCGCACAGGCGAGGGCAGTGAGCTGCGTCCGTACCACTCACAGATCCTGTGGCAATACCGATGCTGACTCAAGAGCCCCATCTGAGAGCCACAGACTCACCAGCTGCCATTTCTTTACATTTCTAAGACATAAAACTTGACATCTGATGCCATGGTCTTTTTAACCCTGCCTTGGCTCTTTTAGAATAATACCAATCATGCTTGTATGACTTTCAATAACATGAACTATCAAAGGTAAAAGTAAATGTGACTAACTTTTCTACTAGGTCTATTTAGATAAACTGGAGGAGGAAATGGCAACCCACTCCGTATTCTTGACTGGAAAATTCCATGGACAGAGGAGGCTGGCAGGCTACAATCCACGGGGTCACAAAGAGTTGGCCACAACTGAGCAACTGAGTACATTTAGATAACTATACATGGACAAAATCCTCTGTCATACGAGGTGTCCCAAATTTTGATATAAACGAAAACCAACCAAATAAAAACCACCCCTGTGTGTGGTGAGGAAACTGCTCTGAGAAGAGCCTCCCCTCTGTGCAGATGTGTGGGCCCGGCACCCATGTCCGTACTCACCGTGCTCTGGGTGGGTCTGTGCTGTCTGCCTGTTGGCTTCTGCAGGGCTGGGAGTACACTCTCTGCACCACCACTCGCACGCCCACTCCCGTCCAGGCAGCAGCTCCGTGGCTCTCGACTGCATCCAGCAGAGAATCCCTCCGGGGAGCCTGGCTGGGGACGCACAGCTCCGCTTGCTCAGGATGGAGGTTCTGGTCTGTGCCCACCGCAGTGTGACCCTCACACAGAATCTGACGAGACACGCAAAGGGAACACTTGCAGTCTAGCTCATGAGGGCACCATCCTGAATGTGGCAGCCAGTGTGACTGTAGGACACTCAAGGAATGACCAGGACAAATGCACACCCGCAGCTCAGGGCTCCTATCTGTGGGTCACCTGTGCGGCCATGGCGAGCTGAGGAGCACAGACCATCTCGGGGGTTTGAGAACATGCAGAAAGGACTCCTATTAAAATACCTCGAAACATGTATATTATCTAGGGTGAAACAGATCACCAGCCCAAGTTGGGTGCATGAGACAAGTGCTTGGGCCTGGTGCACTGGGAAGACCCAGAGGAATCGGGTGGAGAGGGAGGTGGGAAGGGGGATCGGGATGGGGAATACATGTAACTCCATGGCTGATTCATGTCAGTGTATGACAAAAACCACTACAATACTGTAAAGTAATTAGCCTCCAACTAATAAAAATAAATGGAAAAAATAAAATAAAATACCTCATGGTAATTTAAAAAGTTTTCTTCTATGAGGTAACAATCTCAAAGTACAAACTACAAAAGAAGGACTAGGGTTACTGTGAAGTGCCAGCACTCTGCACATTCCTGTGAACCATAGGAGACACCTCAACAATCCTGGTGAACACCTTCACAAGAGGACAGCCCCTCTAGAAGACTGTGCCCTCTGCATCCCAGCACTGTTCTCTACATCCTGTGCTTGTGTAACAAACATGTGACCCTCACAACCCAAGGAGGCAGGCTGCACCATCACCACTGTTATACAGACAGGCATGCTGAGGCAGGACCCGAACTCGGCACTGAGGTCCACCGTCCGCACTCTCAACACCAAGCTCTCTGGCAGCTACCCTGGCGCAGATGGCAAACGAAGACACATCTCATGAATTTAATATCACACACTTGTTTGAAACTGTGTGTTAAAGCAGTAATACACTTTGGGCCATATACTGTACATCTGTTAAATTAAATTGATTAAAGGGAGATTTCACATAATTCCCTCCAGACACATGTTCTGACAGTCAAAGGGAGGCCCTGCTTGATTCCACAGATACAAAGCAGGATGAAAGTCCATTTGCTTTGCTTTCTGGTTTCCCCTCAGATGGTCACCCTCAACATTCCCCTCAATGCTGATGCGGGGAGCCAGGCGACCCGAGGTAGCTGCGCTGGAGTCAGACACTTGGAGCACACAGCACCCCAGGAGTGTCCTCTTGCCCACCGCAAGTGTGGCTTAGCGCTCCCCAAGTTCATCATCATGGGCAGTCATGGCTCAGGGTCACTAACATTCCAAAAAGCAATCTCCAGTGTGTAACCTTGTTTACGCAACTGTCTTTATCCCCAGGGTAACAAACATCAAGAAAAAGAAAAAGATGATTTTTTAAAATAAATAAAAGAGGCTTAAGTAAGCTCTTAGGCAGTTATGAGAACAGAAAAAAAACTCATATTTTAATAAATTAAATGTGACATAGATGTGTGTTGAATACTTGAAGAAGACCAAAGGAAAACACTTCTATAAATATCTGGCCTTTAAATGCAGTATTATTACAAAGTGAAAAGTTCTAAGTTGAGGACAGTTTACCTTGTTTTCACGTGACCTATCGGTTAGGCCCTTAAACTGGAACACCTGAGCCAGAGTGCTGCTCTTCCTCGGACAGGGCGTGTCACACTCATGCCCATCACGTGATGCTTCTGAATCTTCTTTGGCAACAACTTTCTGACAAAAGTAAGTATTCAGAATAACAGGGCAACTTCCACCTGGAATAATAAGCTTTTGCCTAGAAAGGGAAAGAAACACAAATAAAAATTTATTTGCAATGCTGGATTCCTCTCACTTTCTTGCTAGATCTCGAGTACAAAGGGCAATGGCGTGATGCCTGGCCTCACACGGCATCAGTGCATCTGCTCTGCTGCTTGGAACAGGTTCTGCCTCAGAAGTCAGGGTGCAGGAGGCGACCACACCCCAGCCAGTGCGAGCCGCTGAAGGCAGCCTCAGGGCCCCCTCGGGACAGGTTCCGGAGGTGAGGGGCACAGAGCTGCCCGACACTTAAGGGAACGTTACAAGACAGCTCGCCTCTTTCAGACAAGAGATGTCAGACACCAAAGGAACTCCACCTTCGCTACCAAAGGGACAGTCACTGCAGTAGCTCACAGGACTAGGTTCTCCCGGTGCCTCTCAGACTCTTTAAGGCACATTCCTCACACAGGTAGAGCTGCATAACATTAAGGGAGATTTAGGACCTCCATCCCAGGAAGATGGAGGAGATACACTTTCCCCTGTTTCTCCCCCTAGACACAGGGAATGCCTGATGCTGCACAGAAACAAAATGAGAAGATGTTGAAAGGGAAGAGGAGCAGACAAAAACACCCTCAAAAGCTCACTTTCTCCGACTGAACGACAAGGAAGGGGCAGCCCAGTGAGACAGAAAGTGTTTAGCGGTTTCCTTTTAGGCAAACATCACAGAAAAACCGTGACCCATGGCCACACACACCAGCCAAGGGCAAGAGGAGCCCACACATGGCCCTCGACAGGCTGTCATGGGGCTGCCCACACTGCCATCACAGGAGAGATGCCCGACACCCAGAACCAAGCCCCACCTCCAGCCCATGCAGCAAGGTCAGGGCTTTTCCCACAACCCAGTCTCCTACAACTGTCCACTGCAGTCAGAGGCGGCCAAGTAGGGGGCAGGGACGAGCGGTATCCTGACATCTCCCTCCACCTGGTAGACAGAATCCCCCCAACCCCCCACTTCTCTTCTCAGAGCCGTATCAGACAAAGCCAGCTAAAGTTGGTTTAAATAAGATCCAGGACCTCATAATACCTAACATGCACAGTTACCATCTAAAATCACTTGTAACACAAAGACTGAGGCCAGGAGGAGAAGGGGGCAACCGAGGATGAGATGGTTGGATGGCATCACTGACTCAACAGACATGAGTTTGAGCAAGCTCGGAGATGGTGAAGGACAGGGAAGACTGGTGTGCTGCAGTCCATGGGGTCACAAAGAGACATGACTGAGTAGCTGAACAACAAGGTGTTAAAGCTCACTTGATAAATCACCTGACAACCAACACCAGCAGTGAACATCAACATGAGGCTGGGCCTGTACGGACTCTTCTGTTAAGGAATATGAAGAATGTGTTTACTTTCCAGCCCTCTCTCAGGGCTCCCTAACGAGGCAGCAGCGGTGGCGGGACAGGCTGCCGTGCGGGGAGTCACACACAGGGACACACACAGAAACCTAGGGTGTGGAGCCAAGCACCAGGGCTTCTACTGAAGGTCACTTTAGAAAAGAGAGACAGAGAGAGAGAGAGAAAACCCTGTATATTCAAATAGAAACAGTAATTTGTCAGAATGTTTGCTTTCACAAAGAACCATTCCCATTTTTCTTTACTGAGTCTGTTATGAACACAATTCAGGTAAACAGGGAAAGATAGACTGTTTTTTAATGTCACCAAGGGCCCAGAAGGAAAACCAAGTGAAATCTCTTTTCCAGTGCTTGTCAACCCTGCCCAAGTGTGAAATATCCCATTAGCAGCTCAAAACAAACAGTATTTCTTTCACATCACAAAGAAGAGCAATGTGCTTATTTACTGTCTAGGAAGAAGGTGTCCAAATCTGGTGGGTGGCAAAGACAACTCTGGGATTAATGCTATGACCTAAAGAAAACAAACAAAAGGAATTTCCTTCCTTCTTTCCTTCTCTATTTTAACGGCTAGTTAGCTAAAAAGTCAGACTGAGAACTGTAGTTGTCAGAAAAACATAAGCCTAGTCTTAATCTACTTTCCACTGAAAACATACCTGAGATCAGCAATCAATTTTGTTTACAATTTCATCTCAACGGGAAGCCCGAGGACAGAGCTGGCTGGTGTCCACGTCTCCCAACAGCACGTGGGGCAGGCTGAGGGGAAGACAGTCCACAAGGGGACAGACACCAAGGGAACACCTGAGAGAAGTAGAACGCCGGTGCTGCCGGAGCCCAGGCTTCTGAGGAGAGACAAGGATGGAGCTCTCCAAGTAATTAAATCATCTAGAGATTGTTATCCCTGTGAGAGGACTTGTCTGGTTGGTTCAACAATCATTATTTCATACAAATAAAAATGTTTTTTGAATGGATGTCGCCCCTTTTCCTGGCTTCTGTGGCAAAAGCACCTCTTCTCTCTGGACTTGCTAGTGCTTTTCAAAATGTTTATGTTGGCCTCTACAACTAAACCCCTCAAATCCTAGAACAGATCATCTGTCTCTCCTTTATCTTTGTTTCTGACTGCCAGACAGTACCTGACATGTGTAAGGGACTCAATAAATGCTTCCTAAATTAATGGAACCAAAACCACTTTATTCTTATTCATCAGATGTGTTTATAAAGAAATGAGCGTGCCTTCTCAACAGATAAACCAGACCTTACACAACCGTGTCCATGTTCTTAAGAGGAGGAATCCGGCCGTGGCACACATTTCACATCAGGCCGTGGAAGGACGGACGGTCGGAGGGGACAGATGCAGGCACAGAGCCCCAGTGCGCAGCACACGATGGCTTGGGAGGTGGGAGGAAAGATATGGTTTGGATTCTAGGAGGCCTGGGTTTGAACCCTGGCTTTGCTACTCACTAGCTGTGTGAATACGGGCAAATGTAACTGATGACTCAGGCTGTATAACACGGGGGCATGAAGAGTAGCTATAAGCAGCACAGAGGTGTCTTCAAAGATGAAGTAACAGCATGGTGTGGAGTTCTGGGAACAGCTTTGCACAGGTAGATGGAGGCTTCCAGTACTGCTGCTCCTCCAAGAATTACATCTTCAGCCACTTCACAGTAGTCCCTGTCTCTTGTTTAGGGTAACTCAGTGTTTTTTGCCCGTGGCCCATCTTCTTTCTCCGCCTAAAGGTCAGTGAGAAGTCTATGCCATGAGCAGAAAATACTGCTCCCTCGCTGCCTCCATGTGCTCATGTGCACGAAGACTGCTGTGCTGTTGATCCTCTCTGGCTGGATTCTGCTCTGGGCGCGACTGCACTGGCCACACTCAGTCAGTCCTCTTCACAATGAGGATGCCTGTCTGCATTTTCAGAGGAAGTACGATAACAACTGTGTCCGCAGCAAGGGTCCACGACGGGCTGAAACACAAGCCAACGGCTTTAAAGCCAGTCTGTTCTCTTTCCTGGTGGGAGGATGGGACCCACCACGGAATATGACCAGAAAGGTCCTGCACCGTTCCCGGAAGGACAGGGCACGGGACAGGAAGTGGCACAGCCGCCAGGCAGGGGCCGGCGCACCAATCAGCGGAGCTACCAGGACAGTGGGAGACAGTGTGGGGGCCCATCTGACAAGCTGCCACGCAGGGACATAAAAGCAGATGCACAAAGGTCTCTGGGGACAACAGAACCTTGGAGCCACTTTCTACACCCGTACCTGTAAGGCAGCCGTTGCGGCAAATAGATTTTAAATAAAATGAAAGAAAACAAAATCTACAATACAGATCCCAAGGTACGGGACCACATGTCCAGTCTGCGATGTGGTCGGTACCATACTGGGCAGCACAGATCACCGCACAGAGTTCCACGCAGCTATCAGAGAACTTCATTCTCCAGACAGAAAATAAGCCACATTCCATTCACCTGGTAAGCCCCTTTTCATCAATCAACTTGCTGAATTTGAGAAGACTATTGCACCTCATGACTTCTGAGCCACGGCACAAGCTCAGACCCATCTGGCCCCTCCCCCAGATACCTGCTTATGAATCCCTGCGTGAAACCCAAGTTGGCAAACAAGACAGTGTTAGCAGTGTTTTCATGAATTTTTAAAAACAGCACAATATCCTGCCCACATTTTCAATTATTCAAAGAGTGAATGGGCAACTCCTCTCCTCACCAAAAATCAGATTTATTCTAAAAAATTTAAAACCATAGTCTAGAAAATATCTCTAAACTGAAGAATCAAACCAATTTAAGAAACAGTAAGTTTACAGTTCATAGTCCCTTTATTTTCAACTTCTAATTTGACAAGATTTATCACCTGGGTTCAAATATGTTTCTTTTTACCTTCCTATCCAAATAACACCCACATTACCTAAAAAGCTGATAAAAACACTGAAGTAGAACACAGACATTTATAACTATGTTATTTTAAATTCCCAGAGTAGACACTATTTAATTCCTTTTTTTATCCAAATAAACACATCACCGATGAACAGTTTATTTCCATTCTAAAGTGGACAGCAAAATACATTAAAGATGAATTCATGGAAGAATATAAAATGTGAGACAGACTTCCTCTATAAACCAGAAGTCTAATTCTCTACATCAACGTAAGTTTCTGACCTCTGTAAACCAGAAGTCTAATTCTCTACACTAACATAAATTTCTTCCTCTATAAACCAGAAGCCTAATTCTCCACACTAACATAAGTTTCTGACCATATCCTTTTTCAGGCATAGGTTACTGGAAATTCCAGTTTAAAGAAAGAACCACCACTTTTCTGGCAGTAGGTGTAAACCTTATCTTCAAGGCACAAATCCCACACTTTTATTCAGTAACAAAAATTCTGCCAAAATATAACAGTAAATGCAGAAAAAAAGAAAGCAGGAAAAGCATGGTCTGATGTCAGACTGACCTCGGTTTAAATTCTAGCTGTGCTACACGCTGCCAATTTTATCGTCATCAAATTACTTAGATTTTCTCAAATTACTTAGATTTTTTCATAACTAAAATGGGGATCATGCCTACTTAATGTTGTTACTGTGAGACTAGGTGCATACATTCCAATATACAAGCCAGAAACAGAGAT